CAGATAGCCATCGTGTAGCTTTGCGCGAAATTCAAAACAAACAAACAAAACAAAATACCTGTAGACTTATAATGATGTGTTCAAATGTTGAGAGGTAAGAGCGAAGAATGATGCTTGCTTTTTTTTTTCTCCGTAAAAACTGTTTATTTACAGTGGAAATGTTTTTTTTTAATTTCGCGCAAAACTACACGAGGATTATCTGCGCTAGCCGTCCCTAATTTGGCAGTGTAATACTAGAGGGAAGGCAGCTAGTCATCACCAACGACCGCCAACTCTTGGGCTACTCTTTTACCAACGAATATAGGGATTAACCGTCACATTATAACGCCCCTACGGCTGAAAGGGCCAGCATGTTTGGTGGGACGGGGATTCGAACCCGCCACCCGCAGATTGCGAGTCGAGCTCCCTAACCACCTGGCCGAAATGTTTGTTTGTTTGTAATTAAGCACAAAGCTGTACAATGGGCTATCTGTGCTCTTCCCACCACAGTTTTCGAAACCTGGTTTCTAGCGCAGACATGCAGCTTTGCCACTGGGGGAGGAGCAGCTGAAATGAAATACTATCAAAGCTTCGTTCGAATCCGCCCAACCTTGTTATAAACGTTGCTAAGACGGCGTTTTCCATATTAGTATTTGATAATCTCATTGCACAGCATTTTAAGAACGAATGAACCCTATCTAGACGGGTCAAAGGCCATGTCATCGCGTTTGTAGACTCGCATTCAAAATTTTATTCAACTACTATTTTATGAATGTATGTCAATAAGTTTGGTATCAAATTGTAAATTATAATTCAAATTTTAGTACTATACATTAGTTAATTTATGAATTTAAAAGTAAATTAAAAAACCCCCCTCTAAATATTGATTTTTGTGTGTCACGTGGTATGTTGAATGCAGCATTGGTTCAAATTAGATGTTTGTGATGGCTAAATACAAAGTTTATAGTTTCTTACGAATTAGTTACTCAAATTACCGATATTGGCAAACTAGAATATAAGACAAGAACCTCCTATCTTTTCTATTTTCTGAGATATTAATATATTTATTAAATCAACCAAGGTGGCCCCGCCCACCTCTTCCATTTTTGAAAATACTTGCTTACGTACACCTATTTCGCCTAATGATGTGTGTATAACTAATCGAAAGCTCAGAATGTCCCCCCTAGTGGTTTTCTTAGCACTTACGAAGTATTTGCGCGGGAAACTTTCTTTTCATGCTAGCTTCCAAGAGGTAAGGTAAGACAGTTGTGAGCTCGAAAAAGCATATTATTTAGACCCAAATACAGCTTAGTTACTAAACCTGATAAATTATAGTGGAATTGTGTGGTATTAATATTGTAATTTCTATCTTGTTTTACATCCTCCACGTGCGAAATTTGATAAGACTTAGCAACTTATGGCAAGCAAAAAACAAATACAAAGTTCATAACTAGAAGAGATAATTGTTTCTATACTTCTTTATTTACTGTTCTATGTTTTAAGAAAAATAACTGAAATTTAAGAACTTATATATAAATATTAATATTGTATATATATATGTAATGTATTATAACTGAAATGTGACTGTATTTTATAAAATACTGGTCCAATAGAACACAGCCAAGAGAGGTAACTTTTTAAAAGGCCTGTTTTATATTCTTGGATACGGTAACATGAGTGCAACTTTTGTAATGTTAGTCAGGCATAGCTGAAAGGTCAATAAACTAAATATAATAAATATATATATAGATGCATAATGTTACGAGATTTGAGCTATTTAGACTAAACATTTATATTTTCATGTTATAATTTGTAGTCATTCTAGAACGAAAAAAGCATAACTTATATCTATTTCCAAATTCTTTATGGTGGTTACGAGGTCGGTCAAATCGATCAATAACCAAAAAATCGTTTGATAATTATCTGCAGGTTATAAAGATTTCGCATGTGAAATTTAAAAATTTTCTGATGCATAAAAGTATTTTCAATATTAAAATCAAAATTACTTTGCATGTTGGGTAGTAAAAAAATATGATATTTTGCGTACGAAAGCCTTGTACTAATAATCTGCAAAATTTCATGAAGATACGCTTATTGTATTAACAGTTATAGCATGAAACTATAAATGGTTACGAGGTCGGTCCCTGGGACCGAGCCCATAGTGAGAGAGTGAAAATACCACTTTTAGCTTCGCTCTTGGCTAAAAATTCGATGCTTTCCCAACCACTTATAAGACGATATTTTACTGTTTTTATCAGTTATGAGCAGTTGTTTATTGTCTTTCCCATCATTTACGAGCTCCTGTTTTGTTTTACCGTTGGCACAGCGGTAAGTTTATGGACTTACAACGCCAAAATTCAAGGTTTGATTTCCCACGGTAGACAAAGCACACGGCCCAATGTGAATTTGCTCTTAAACAAACAAAATACACGTTTTGTTGCTTATCAGTAACAAGATGATTTTTTTCGTAGTAGCGACAAGATTATACTTTACTGATTTTATTTGCAAGTGATAAATTGATATTTTGTTCCTTATTAGTTATAATCTGATATTGTATTGGAATTTCGAAGCTGTAGAATTAGAGAAACATAAAACAGAAAAATGAATCCGAGGCAAAAAATTTATTCACGGTTTTTCAGGATCACAATAAATCAACATTACGCTTGAAATCGCCCCCAAGTGGCACAGCTGTATGTCTGCGGACTTCCAACGCTAGAAACCGGGTTTCGATACCCGTGGTGGGCAGAGCACAGGTATCCCATTGTACTTAACTTCAAACAAACTCTTAGAATCCATTTTTGGGCGCAGTGGAAATTTATAACCACTTCCCATTCTAGACACATCTTTTATAAGTTTAAAATCATGGAAATTATCAACGCTGATCGTAAACAACCCATTAATTTAATCTGTTACAAGTGCTTTTTTTAGGGGGGGGAATAAAAAATAGCAAAGAGCTATTCAGATATTAATTAAAGCCATTAATTAATCTAATCTGTAACCTTCTTCAAAGCATCGGTCTTCATAGATACAAACACAAACCTTCTGTAATTCTGGAATGAAGATTTCTCGCGGTCCTTTTTCCAATTTGTCCAGGTTCTGAAAGTTGCTGTTGAAGAAAACAACAACAGAAAGTTAATTTAGTTGGTTAATGTGCAGAAATATAATCTGGAATAAAAAGAAACTGAAAACGATGAAAAACTAAGTTGACAGACTCAGATACTGAATTAATTATATATTAATATATTAATTAGACAACTGAAAGTTTTTGATGCGTAATTTGGATATTTGCTATATTAGAATTTCAACGTATAAATGTTCAATAACTTGTGTGTTTTTTTTCTTTTTGCCGTTCACAAAAAGCTACTATCTGCACAAGAAGTCCATAATTTAGCAGTAATAGACTAGAGGGAAGGCAGACAATCGCCGGGTTCCGACTCTAATGGAATAGCGGAATTGAGCTTCGTGTTATATAGCACTCACAGCTCCAAAGTATGATATTAATTTAGGTAAAGGACACAAACTATGGAACCTACGATCCACAGCCCGGTGCAAAAAAGTTTCTTTATTTCTTCAAGCTGTTGATATAACGAGTTTCTTAGATTACCTTATTTTGTAAGTTGAACAGTAATCAAAAATTTGTCATTAAGATCTCATATCTGTGTACTTAAGAGATTAAATCCAGAATTCTCTAGAGTAAAATCCTAAATAACAGCATGTACAGAAGTAATTATCATACACTAAACTTCCATTATTCAGCTACCATAACAGAACTAAAAAAGAACTATGAAATAAACAATTAATAAAATATTTTTATTTTTTAACTTACGTAATGTTGATTGGAGCATAGTACGTATAACTACGAATAAATGAAATGGCTGTAAACTCCAGAGATTCTTTTGACTTGTTATTTGCTCAACGTTTCAGCTTTAGGCCTTCAACAGGAGCATACATTTTCTGTAATAGACTCTATCATTCGAATTAAGATCGCTACTGGCCAACTTTCTCTTTGAAGCCATTCAAGCACCGAAGTCTATAGCAAAAACGGCTAAGTATACTGCGCCAAAATCTATGCACAGCTACTAAAAAAACTCCTGTGAAGGTTGTAGGGCTATTTTAAAGTTGATTCTGGAAATTAGAGATTCTAAAAATCAAAATGCTCCCCAGTGGCACAGCGGTACGTCTGCAGACTTATGATGCTAGAAACCGGGTTTCGATATCTGTGGTGGGCGGAACACAGATAGCTCTTTGTGTAGCTTTGTGCTTAATATCAAACAACAACAACAAGACTCAAACTACGTACATGATAATTTCTCTCATTACAAAGCCCGTGGCACTTATGTAGATAATATATTAAACATTGTTATATAAAGAAAAAGTATCTTACATTGTAACTTCAGCAACTTGACAGATTTTCTGGAGTTCACAGTCGTTTTATTTCTTCGTAATTTATAAAATGATTAACAACTTAGATGAATGAATTCGCAGAGTTGTTCTATAAGTAGGTGAATAGTACAATACAATATTTAAGTGAAAAAAAAGCTTCTGTAAGACCATTTTGACAAGACAGTTTGATCCTTTTTATGGTTCAATATAATTAAATTATCTCGCGGTTAACAAGTGAATATTCGCTATTCCCAAAACACAAACAACAACAAAAGAAAGAAAGCAACGGTTTACTAAACCTTCTTCTCTTCTTCGATAAAACAATACTTATCATCACAGGTTCAGCGTTAGGGGAGGGGTGGGCCGTATATCTCCTAAATTTTACTTTGGGCTATCTAAGTTCGTTCTCCCTAGCGGTTTAAAAATCATATAATTTTTTTAAAGATCGAATTCGTTGCTACAGAAACAAGCTCAGAAGAGTGACGGTTAAATCCCGCCACTGGATGAGATAGGAGCAGCACAAGAATTGGCTGTGGATGGTGTTGACTAGATCCTTACCTTAGAGTATCTCAGTTCAAAATTAGGGACTACTTTGGTCAGCTAGTCCTCGTGTAGCGTTGCGCGAAATATTCAAACAGAGAAACAAATGTAATTAGGGACGACTTTGGTCAGCTAGCCCTCGTGTAGCGTTGCGCGAAATATTCAAGCAGAGAAACAAATGTAATTAGGGACGACTTTGGTCAGCTAGCCCTCGTGTAGCGTTGCGCGAAATATTCAAGCAGAGAAACAAATATAATTAGGGACGACTTTGGTCAGCTAGCCCTCGTGTAGCGTTGCGCGAAATATTCAAACAGAGAAAAGAATGTACAAAGTTTCGCCTGCTAATTACTTGAAATTATGAAGTTCTCTATGCCACACCGAAACAAAGTTTCAATGAAATATAAACTTAAAATATTGTTTTAGTTAATACAGGTTTGATATTTCAAAATGTTTCCCGGTGGATTAGCGGTAAGCTTACGGACTTTTAGCGTTAAAATCCGGAGTTCGTTTCCCCCGCGGTGGACACAACAGATAATCAAATATGGCTTTGCTCTAAAACAAACAAACAATATTTTAAAATATTATGTAAATAAACTTTACTTACCTTAATATGGACTTAACCGTTAGAGGTTTACCCTGTGTAGGCCTATGAGACAAGCAGATCTTTTGGGCTCCCTAAAAACAAACAAACGAAAGTTTAACTGTAACTTTAAAATACAAATTTATGTTAGGTTAATTAAAGCTAGTTCATGAAATATTTTATGAAATGCAGACTAGAGAAGCCCTGTTATGTCAAATAACACTTTCTGAGGTGTGTTTGTTTGTTTAAGTTAA